GAATTTTTCAAAGGGCATTCCCTTACATAATGACTCTCGCACTTAAAACATTTCACCACTCGCCTTTTGTTGCTTACAACATCATACCACCTTGATCTATCACCACTTCTTCCTTGATTCACCACCATAGGAGGCTTAGTTGTTTCAGTATTTCGATGGATATGCTTTAATAATTGCTTAATAGACATTGAATCATAACGAACTACCGGCGCGAATGATTCTTGATGGTCAATCTTTGTTGTGTGAAACTGCGTACAACAAGGCGTGCTTCATAGCGAACGTTTTTATTGTCACCTTTAATACGAAACACCCATCTGTCAATCACACGCGAACCCTCCGGTAGTTTCACCAAGTCCATCAATCATTAGTTCATATTGCGTTCATTTAGTCTTTCATCGCCTTCTTTCATTGTTTGGAATCTGCACTTTTAATTGCTTGTTTGTAACAATCGGGTACAAAAGTTGGGCTACAAAATGTAGTCGTAACATAATCGTCGTCCGATGTATTATCATTATCTTCTTCACTGCCTGTAGAACTTCCTTCCTTTGGTTGATCATCTAGAGTATGTTCTGGCATTACTTGCTGTGGAGGCGTTTCATATGTAGTCAGGTCGAAACTGAGTGAAAAAGTCTCTTTCGCACATCGCAACTGACTTCAATTTTTCTCTTTTCTGGATCACAAAGTCGGTAATTAGTGGAATAACCTTAATATATAATATAATTATAACAAATAATAACCTTTTCGATTTTAAAAATGAATGCGGAATTGACATATACGTGACGCAACCAAGAATTCTTAAGTGCTTCGTTCCAGGTTTATACCCGAACCATTTTTTAAACGGAGTCGAGGCATCACCTGTGTCGAAGTCGCTCCATTTAGCAAGTAAGTAGCAGTGTTTATAACTCACGGCCATAGTTCTTGTCATACATTTTTATTGATTAATATTGTTCGAACACTTTCGACAATTGTTCGTATCTCTCTCTCTGACCGTCCGTTTTGTTGAGGTGTATATCCCGAAAAAAGTTCATAGTATATAGCCTCCTTCTGTATGAACTCTTAGAACTTTTTGTATATGTATTCACTCTTCCCTTGGTTACCTCTCAACGCTTTGATTTTGTTGCCGGTTTGATTTTCAACCAAAGCCCTAAATTCCTTGAATCTGTTTTGTCTCAAGAAGTAAACCGTTCTGTAACCGTTACAGTCATCCTATAATAAGACAAAGTATCTGGAACCACTAGGCGATACAACATTAATTGGTCCACATACATCAGTGTGAATTTTTAGGCCTGGCTATTCTAGCTTGTTTTCCGAACTAACATGTTTATCGTCAATTTTCATGTTTTTCATCATGTAGTTTTCAGTTGATTTAATTGTCATGTTTTTGTTTACATGGCCGAGAAGCTCATGCCATAATTTTAACGAACTTTCTTGCTGAAATTGCACTATGGAGAAACGATCACTCTGCATTTCAATACCCACTGATTGTCTTTCGCGTACCGGCACATGACTCTTTTCTGTCACTATCGCGGAATTCGCAAAGATATTTGTACGGATGAAGGGTGAAATCTCGATTTGTTATAGCTCCCATTGAAAGTAGATATTGTATCAATACTGAGATATACAAAACGTTAATGTAGACTCTGTATATGTCATTCGTCAATCATTTTTAATTTGGTGAACCATTATGGTTGGACACGTACCTCCACTCTTTCTTATCCTGAGCTAATCTTCGCATTTCCCTAAAACTAGAATAACCCACATCCTTAACTATTTACGAGCAGTAATCTAACCTACGTCTACCTCTACCCCTACTAACTCCTGTTTCTAGCTCTAATATGTCTCTCACTAGACCTTCATGCCTGAGAAGGTGACCTACCAACCTATTTCGCCTATTTCTTATTGACTTCCATAGAGTCTTCTGTTCCCTATTCTTTCTAATACCCCTTCATTTCTAACCTTTTCTATCCACGTTATCCTCATCATTCGCCAAATTGACTCGGACAAATTAACGAACTGGCTCCAAATTCTTCGCATTATTAGATTACACTAAAGGATTTTGACAAATTAAGCTATCAGAAAGGACGCAAAAGATATTAACAGTTGCTACTGCATGAAGAAGATAGTCCTTCAAGAGGCTTCCATTTGATATATCTTCAGCACCTGAAATAATCCAAGAAATCTTAACAAATCTGCATTCATTTAACCCTTCTATAAAAAATACGCATAGTCAAATTAAAAAACCTCAAAGACTGTATCAATGACTTTATGACGACAACAATATTAATTTGTAATCAATTTATACACACCACAACTAGATTTTCACCCTTTAATTTACTGTAATGTTCATACGAAGAACTAAATATATACAAAATGGACTTAGCGTGACATACGAGGTCTGTTCCAAAAGTATCGCTAATTTTAAATTACCGCGGGTAATACTCATGCCTCTCACTTATACCGACAAGTTCGGCCATCTTGAATGTTCAATTAATTTTTGACATCTGCTTTGCTTACACGTGTTTTGGCTCGTCTTCGATTTTTGCCTATTCCAAAAAATGAATAAAAGAATATGTATCAAATTTTGTGTGAAAAACAAAATTAAGTGCGCGTAGGCATTCCAAATGTTGACTGTGGCATATGGTGAAGATATCTTGAACCTAAGCAACGTTTACCGTTGGTACAAAATATTCTCAAAGGGCCGAGAAGATGTGAACGACAAGGAGCGTGTCGGACGCCCGTGCACGTCAACAAGAGACGAACATTGATGAAGTGAAGAAAATAGTATTGGCCAATCTTCGAATGACCGTTAGAGAAGTTGCTGAGGATCTAAACATATCGGTTGTCTCCTGCCATTCGATTTTTACCAATGATTTTGCATTGCTAAGGAGCTGTTGAACTCTGCCCGCGGTGACTCAAAGGGTCATAACTAGTGACGAATAATAGGTTTATGGTTATGACGTGGAAAACAAAACTCATCATCCCAATGGAAGCTGCCGCACATGCCAAGACCGTAAAAAGCGCGCTAACTTAGGTCGAATGTGAAGGTTTTGCTTACAGTTTTCTTCGATTGCAGGGGCGTGGTTCATCATGAGTTCTTGCCACAGGGTAGAACTGTCAATAAGGAATATTACTTGCAAGTTATGCGCAATTTGTGAGTAGCAATCCGCCAGAAACCCCGGACAGAAATTGGCCTTACATCATGATATCGCTCCTGCTCACACATCATTGCTTGTGCGCGAATTTTTGACCAAAAACAACACACCAATAATGCCGCAGCCACCGTTTTCTCCAAATCTGCTCCCCTGTGAACCTTTCTTGTTCCGAAACTGAAGAGGCCCATGAAATAAACAAGATCACAAAAAATAATTTTTTGAAGTGCTTCGAGGATTGGAGAAAACGTTGGCACAAGTGTATAATATCTGGTGGGGATTACTTTGAAGGGGGCAAAATAGATATTTATGAATAAATAAAAATTATTTTTGGAAAAACGCAAAATTCGCGATACTTTCTGAACAGACCTCGTACCTATATACAAACAATACAATCAGAAAAGAAAAGATGGCATTTTACCAAATTGTATTATAAACAAAAAGACAAGACAAAAACACTTTTAGAAAGATGTAACGAAAATCTTGAAGCTATTTCTATCGACGAACCTATTGTTTATGTTCGTAATGAAAAATCGAAATGTAACAAAATTAATCCGCGTTTCAAAAAGGATGAAAGTGGAAAAAATAAATTAACAGGGTTCAACGATACAACAATGCAACAATCGAAACTTATTTCCGAAACCTTAGAAAGGATTTTTTCGTTGCAGACTAACGTTGACGACCCTCAACCAGACTCTTTTCATTGAAGACGTGCCCAACGTAGGATACTTTTTAGAAGATTAAGGTGTAGCAAAAATGTTTATTCATTATTAGAGGTTTTATTTTTACATAAATATTTTAGTGATTTTAGAAATCATGATGAACACTGATAATGTATCAACAAACTACGAGATAACTTGAAGTTAATAAAGAATAAGCTTTTAAAATTTAAATCTAAAATACACAAACGTGCGTAATTTAACTTCACTGTATTTGCTATAAAGTTAATTACAGGAAATTTAGACCAAAATGATTATGATGAAATAGACAAAAAATTAATAAAACTACTTAAAAGTCCTAAAAGACGAAATTAATATTGCAATGTTCGTGGGTTTAACAAAATTACTTCTAAGACTGATAACGACAAAAACTATTTATTTACACTAATGTTGATATATCACTATTCACTGCGCTATTTATTTCACCACTATCACTTTCAATTTATTTCCCGATTCACTTCTGCAACGGTCAATTTATTTCTACTCTTTTCGGCAATCGTCTCTTTTTTAAATACTATTTTGTTTACTTTCGGGAACCTTCTGGAAACACCCGGATAGTTTACTTTTTCTTTAAACTGTTTAATTGCTTTCTCAGGACGCAGGTACGATACACACATTTACGAATACGGCGCACATGAAGAAAGGCGCCCGTGGCTAGTCGGCGAATCGATAAGCCATTCAGGCATACGTGTGCCCGATCGCACACAAACGCACTCGTGCTCGCTACAATATCCAACAGGCAATACAAGGAAACATTTTTGCTTCCCAAAAATTATTGAATTCACTCCAGTAAATTAATGGAAATATTGAAGTTCATATTTTTAAGATAATTGAATTCTCAAAATTAAAATTACTTTAGGTAAATGACACTATTACATGTACAAACACCTTAACTAATGTATAAAAGAAGTCAATTNTAAGTACGAACGTACGTACGTACGTACGTACGTACGTACGTACGTACGTACGTACGTACGAACGTACGTACATACGTACGTACGTACGTACGTACGTACGTACATACACACATCATCAAAAAAATTGGCTAGCATGCTACTAATATGTTAAAACGTGGAAATATAATGAAAATTCCGATTTCACTTTTCGACCCAATTACAATAACTTCCTAATGGGAAGTTAAAAAGAATGGTTGGGAAAGATTTAAGGAAGCCGACAGTGCCGTTTCGGGAAGTTTAGGGCGGGTGCTGTAAGTAGAATGAAATATTTAGTAAAATTATTTTGTATTAATTGTGTAATATTTTAAAACAATTATATTTCGTTTTGGAGTTTGAAATAGTTGGAGTCGTTACCACTATGGCGGCGTTATCGGTTGCCTCAACCACAACCACTGTGGCAGCGGGAAAAAAGAAGCTGGGGATCCGGCGGAATAGTGTGGCGACGACGTCTCCGACGTGGAGCGGTCCGGGGACGAGGCCCACCATAAGCACGGTGACCCCAGCAGAAACGCTGCCTCCACCGACGATGACGGCTCCAACATTGCCACAAGGGGAACAGTTGATGGGAAAAGGTACATGTTCCACAGATGTGACGATGCCTCTGTGGTGTATATTACCTGTATCACCTCTGTCCGACACCCCCATGACGCTTTCGCAGGAGATGGAGCGTTTAGAAGGTGTCATGGTAAGTGCTCATCATGTGCGAGAAAAGATGGAGGCACTGACGTCAGCTTGGGAGAGGAAGCGCGATGCTCGCTGTAACGTAAGCACAGAGCTTGCCCAAGTGCGAAAGTGCAGCACGAACGAGGTTACTCGTCTTCAAAAAGAAATCCTGCAGCTATCGGAGAAAGAGACGCAACTAGTGGAAGAAGAAGACAGGTTGCGTCTCGAAGAAGACGTCCTAGGGCATGAGGTGGAAACGAAGCGCCCGAAGTATGAGCGGCTCTGTGTGGGTGCGCAGAAGTGGTAATACAGCAACATGTGCGGAGGTAACTGTAAATGATGAAATATGATGATACCTGATATTTTACGATTTTATCGTTCCTAGGAGACGCTGTGTATAGGTATGCGAGGGATGCAAAATGGGGTTGAAAATGGGGTGAGAAGAAAATCCGCTGAAAAACATCATAGGGAAATGGGTTAATGTGGGGTGGGGCAGAGGTGGGTGGGGGGATCAGGGGAGTTAAGTCCGAACGGGGTAGTTGTGTGAATTCAGCTACTGCAACAGTGCCAACTTGTAGACCCAGTTGTCAGTATTAACAGTGGCAGAGGGGTCTCTTTTTTTAAAACCACTCCTTATAACTCTAATTAATTCTACAAGTTAAGGGTAGAAACTTAGTTCCTTAATAACAGCGGTTCACCACTTTCACTCGATGGAAAACGTTCTTCACTGAAAGGCGAACTTTTTTTATTGAAATATTTTTCCGCTATCGTCCACCTTTCATACACTTTCTGGGGCTGAAAGTATGGGGTTAAACCATGTAAAAAAATATTTTCATACTTTTTTACGTGGGATCATTTTAGTTACCCTTAAACATACATTTTACAAGAGGAACACTTCTTTTTTCCACTGCTTCTATTTTTTAAGTAACTTTGAAAGTGTTAAGATTTTGTCAACTTTATTTTTTTTTATTTTTAATTTTTTTAATTTTAATAACTTGTGTTGGGTAGCATCTTTTAAGAACATAACTTATTGCAAGATTGTATCTCCTTATGCTTCAAAAAAATTAATAAATGGTCCGTTTTACACTTTTACCCCCATCATTTATTACGTTGAGGGATTTTATAAATATGTTTCTTCTGTTCTTATACTACATCTCATTACCTAACATTTCATATACTACTCACTCGTTCAACTCATTAATTACACTAACTTATAATTTTTTGAAACACATCGACTTCCACCAAATTTACTATCATAACTTTTCTTCTGCGACACCTCTCCATTGAAATCATAAACGGGTAGTACATTATAAATAACAACTTTTATCTTCTCTATGCTTCTTCCATTATTACACTTTTTCACCAATAAACAATTACTACTGTTCCAACATTA